ATGAATAATAAATAATATATACAAATTTAGATAACATTACTCTCGCGACAACAAGAGCATTCCTTCGTCTATATAAATATTTATAAATTGCTATTGCAGTTGAATCAAACCAGCTAATCAACGAACACAGTGCGTAAACGTCTCAATATTAATTAATCGGCCAATAGAAACCTCTCGTTTCAGCTTGAATAGTGAAATTTATAAATATTTATATAGATAAAGGAATGCACCAAGAGTATGCTATGACAATTGTGCTTTCTTCGCGTTTTAATAATAAATAGGCATATTTTGTGAGATTATACAGGCTGAGTAATTGGAACGACAAAAAAAGTTTTTAAAAAATGATTATGGGGTTCAGCTGAGCTATAATATTCCGAAATATACTCTCCCTCATGTCCTGAAAAGCAAAAACAAATTGGACAAAATGGTATTTCCCTCAATTTTCACAGCCTGGTTATCATACAAGGCCACATAGCCCTGGGCATTTGGACAGGTTAGTCCGTTTCATTCTTAGGGCATATGTGTTGATATCGAAAAGCTGCTGTATGTAATTATTATCTATACTGTAACAGTGAATGTATATGAAGAGGTTGGCGTTATACAAACGGACGTGTCGGCCGCTGTTTATTTCAATGAAGGGTTGGAGTTTTTAGTATTTACAAAAGATACATGAGAGGGTTGGGGCCAAATTTAACATGATCAACTAAAACATGGGTATTGATGTTAAAATAATAAATTATGTAATGAGTGGTTTGTTGTCAGGACGTGATCTCTAATATAATCTCTATTAAATACAGTCGGGGTCTTCTATAGAAATGTAAAATGTACAATCGTTTTATATTTACTGAAATGTTGCATTTTGCAGGAAAAGTAATATAAGCACGATCCAGCAAGCCTTGCCAGTTTTCATGTAACGTACAGAATAATCTTAATATTTATTTTAAACTGTACGAATGAATACAAAATTTAGTCAAATGTACGTATAAGATGTGCGCAGTCTTCCCAGAAAAGCGAAACACGAAAGGTCGAAACGTCCGGCATTTCTGTTCAACATATCATGAAAGACTACTTAGATTGTACGTCTAAAAAGACAAGTCAGTTCCCGCCAAACAACTAAACCGAAAGTAACATAGAACTGACATTACGTTGTGTACACATGTTTTCGATTATATCTTTAGTTTATACATTTTTTGGAGCAGGTATTCAGAAAACGAGTGGAAACAGTTATTACTGAAATAGCTCTCCAAGAAATGTTATCAACAAGGAGTGTAGCTGGAATTTCACACCTTCCTTCTCTCGAGTATAATTCACCTGAACGGTACTTTCGCCAGATAAAATTCCATTCACAGAGATTTCTCGCTTGATGTCTTACTATTTCTTGTGCAGGGGTCAAAATACCCTTGTGCACACTGCACTATGCACATAGATCATTACCTAGTGCTAGTAAACCCAAAATATAATGTGCACACTGTGCATGTAGAAATTTAACACATTTTCACTAAGCCTAAATTAAGTTCAACCAATATTGTAAGACAACTAAAAAAAAGCAAATTCTTTCATGATTGCATCAATCGATAACTTGTAAATGCTATTAAAACTTTAAAACAATAAGTTAGTGCAGGTAAATTTCAACTTCAACATGCACACTGTGCATGCAGGGAAAAAATTCTATTTCAATCCCTGTTGTGCGACTGTGAAATTGCTGTGGCCTAAATTTAATACTATTAGGCTATCGATTTGTTTTATTTACACTGGAAAAGTGACCACTCTGGCTTGTAAAAAAGGCGACTTACATATTTTATACGGGGTGTCGGAATTTTGTCCAGAATGCGCAAATCGGCTTCACTATTTACATGTCATATTGGATTTGCAAAGGATTATGGGATAGAAAATGGACGTTTGGGGGGGGGGGTCGCATCTTCTTCATAGAGCCCCATGTTAAAACCAGCTTTTTACCTCCCCTGTTTTTTAAGAAACGCATTAGTTTTTTTTTAATTATGCTTATATTGTTGGACTTCCCATTATATTTTATTATTTTCCGCGTCACAGTTGTGATAAACTGTTAATTTATGAATGTCAGATTCACTCCTGATTTGTTGTATAAAAATGTTTGCTATGATTTTTAGACAGTATATACATGAACGAAACCCGAGAACAAGTGTAAAATATATTAATTTCATGCAAGCTTATTGGTCATGTTGCTCTAGACTACTACAATATTACATCCCACTCTATTGGTAAGTGGAATGTTCCAGTTTGAATGACGGTGGGACAGATGAAATGTATCACCAGCTGTCTTATCTGAGCGTGTTTTATTGTGTAAGTGTCTTACAGTCACACATAATCTTACTGTTTAGCCAAGAGGATGGGGATGCTGCAATCTGGCGAGGCTGAATGACTGACTATGTGTATTCAGAGATATCACGCCCACAGCACACATTGATAAACATTCAAACAACTGAAAGAATATCTTACAGATTGGCCCATTATCCTAGAGGTAGCTAGGTTATAATTTTTGCGGGGCAGAGATTATTTCCTAAGCAGTCAAATATGCCAGCTTTTCTTAGACAAAATATTGATCTACATGAAACACCTTGGTGATGATAATTTAATTATCTTGGCATAAATAATACTACAAACGGAAAAATTTAAGGAAGGAATAAAATCACTGAAGAAGAAAGACTATCTTGTTCAAATAAAAAAATAAAAAAATTGAGTATTCAGCTACAATTGTCGTTCTTTGACGAACACATTTAACTAATCATTTCTTTTTTAAGGCTGTGACGAAACTTTAATTAATTCCTCAATCGAAGATGTACTTCTCACATTCTGACGTTTTCTTATGAATATCTCAAAACATACATTTACAGCCATCTCCGCCTACCGGTTTGTTTTTCTTTTTTCTGGTTCTATTTTAGACTACGCTAGAATAGTTCCCGGCCAGGGCAGTCCCCTGTAAACGTTATAAAAGGATCCTTTATTGATCAATATGTTTACCTTCTCTTCCAAATAAGACGTCTGTTCCTGTTGGCATCAGTTTACAGTTGGGCGTATAGAGCTCGGATAAACCCTTAAAATCTCCAGCCTTGTATCTTTTCACAGGTTCCTCTTGAAGTTGTTGACAGAAAGCCTTCAAATCATGTGAGTCTGCCATGTCAGTTGGCGGGGTCGAGGAAAACGTAGTAAGTGGTGTGTGTCGGCCGTTCTATGCTATGAATAGAAACAATTATGTGCACGTTGAATTATATACCTTAGAAAGCCCCCCTAAGGTCAGACCCATATTCTGACGACGTAAGAAGAACCACCGACATCGCGGAGATTCTGTCATAGAAGCCCGAGGCGATTATAAGGCCAACACTTAGAGGGGTGGTTCTCTGTTTAAACCACTATGATCCTTGAACTAGTCTTACAGGTGTCAATAACTGAACTAATGTAATACAACACAGAACGTTGTTATTCAGTTTTAGCTAAACGTTTTAATATATTTAGGATTTATTCTTGCTTATTTGTGTTTATTTTTTAAATGGTACCCCTTTTACCGAAATGGGCGATGCCCTATTAGAGAGATTTCTACCGTACTGACTGCTGTTTAAAATTTACATATTAATGTCTGGCCGAACATTGCTGCGTAAGTATGTTATATAACTTGTTGTGCAGACAAACAATAGACTGATGAACAGGAGAAACCTGATATATGCATGTTTAGTCATGGACCACTTTTAAAATTCTGTCACAACTCGCCTACTCAGACAATAGAATTGCCACTGCATGGTTTTAATGGTCGAAGTGACCTAGTTCAAGTCCAACGTCCTGCCACTGGAAGGGAAGCTGCACTAAAACTCTCAGATCAAAGGGAGGTGTCTCCAGAGAAAACAACAGCAGTGTGAAAGTCTTGAAGTACTGGAGTTTTTTTTTTTAAATTGCTATGGGGGTTTCTAGAAATCCCTCTTGATGGTTCTGGAATTTAATTTAATTTTATATATTTAATTTTATTTTTACTATATATTTTCATTATGTTTTTGGTTTTTATTATTAATAAGTACATCTTATTTTGTTAATTATCGCAACATATGGCCTTGCAGGCTTTCGTCATTACCAAAACTACCAGCAAATAAATAATAAATTCAAATAAAATAAATTAAAAGTAAGTGTATAACAAAAAAAAATAATTAAAACATATTTTTAAAAAATCAGGGGAAAATAATAAAAAAAATTAGCCCAAACTAGAATCTTATTTTAATAAGATTGAATTCGTTCTCAGTACAATAAAAACAAAAGCGCTCGTCGATTTGTGTAGAGGGCGCTATTTAAAGCTGCGTTCTTCTGCAAAAATTCTACTCGCGGTCCAGATTATTTTTTTTACATGTGCACACAATTATATATTGCTCAGTTTTTATCTTAGAAAAAAACGGTGGATAAAACAGTTTCCATAGACCACAATGAAAACACATTTTCTCGCCAAAAACCCACTAAAATATTGTCAATTTGTTAATACTTCTAGATATCAAAAAGTACCTCTTTGATCACTATATATGTTTGTTTCAGCATATGTCACAAGCAAACTTTTGAGATATTGAAACATAACCTCGCTATAGGAAACAATGGTAAAATGCCTTAAACAGACAAATAAAAACCCGGGCATAAAACACCACATTAATGACAAAAAAAAACACAAAAAAACAAAACATGTTTATAATAATATTACCTCAACAATCAACAAAAGTATCGCGAGATACACTTCAGACTACTATACACCGTGTATACACGTAATTCCGGAAATGATAAACGCTTCATTCCATTCTCGTGTAAAATCTAGATGTTAGTTTACAATAAAGTTGAAACAGAACAAAAACAAAGGAAGACAACATCAACAATTAAACATAATAAAAAAAAAAAATTTTAAAGGCAGTTGTTATTTGCCAAGATCATTCTCTTTTGTTTTCAATGGTTTCTGTGATTGTAGCCATGACATAACGCTCACATCAACCTTTTGTATACTCTCCCCAACTCTGCATACCCTACTTTCACTTGATGCTATAAACATGCACGACCTAAAGTCTTGAGGGTCACGGTAGCCATATATGGAATATACTATCAATGACACGTGACAGCCCCTGCGAGGCCCGCCATTTTGTTTCGTGAAATACTGATTTGAAAAATCCAGTGTTTTCCTATATATTTTTGGTCGAAACGCAAAATGAACATTTCAGTACCAAACCAGCCATTTTCAGCCAGCTGTAAGTATAAATTTCGTTCCAATTGCAACGCGCATTCATTGAGTTTAACGATATTTTAACTAGCGACTTCATGGTCAGGGCCTGTACGCGTGTCGAGTTTGAAGAATATTCAGATGCTAATCTGGCCCCAGACCTAGGGTAACACGTCGCTATGTTTAGACACACACACAGAGGGACTGTGGTTTAGAGTAGCCAGACAGACTGGCCGGTGTACATAGATACAGGTTAAATGCTTCACAAACAATGACTTAGAAACCTACTTACAGAAAATATGAACTTGTTTTTGTTCAGCACATATACACAATAGAATATATTCCGACAATAATCGCGTCTATCCAATCGATTGAAATGAAAAAAAAGTACTTTTGCTTTTTCTAATAAAATAATGGTACAAAATCTATGAAATCTCAGTTTGGTGTCATATTCCCACAATCAAAAACCAAATAAAAGTTTTTTAAAAAAAAATATATTGTGAAATTATTTTTTTATTCAGAAAGTGACTGCAACTATTCTAGATTATCTCAAAATTTGTAAGACAACAAGAGATTACGCATATTTAATGTAATTATGTACACACTCTAAAGGCAAGACAGTGAAGTGATGCATAATACTGTAGAAGTGTGAATTATTTACTGGGTTTTAATTTTGCTTATTTCGCTGACTGGAAATTAAAACACATGTACAGTGAATATGTAAAATTCACTATAGAACACATTATCTAAATGATAAAACCGTGAAATATGCCTGAAATGGTAAATCAGCGAAATTTAAACCTAGTGAAAATTAGTCATTTTACAGTATATTAATAAGCCAAACTTTTGACCAACCATGTTTTACAGATTTGGATATTCAAAAAACCAGGAAATAGATTTGTTGAAAAAGAAGTAAAAAAAAACAACATTTTTTCATGACAGTTCTCCCTGATAATGAGAGAATAGAAAATTAATTTTCTTTCATGTAAAGTTTGTAATTTTGTGAATAATTTCATGAAACATATTCTAATTCACCTATACCCATTTTGATGATTTTTGCAGTGTTTTCAATGCAAAAATGGAATTACAGCAACTTTCACTATCATTTTTGCCACACTTGTCAACTTTTCCTTTTTCTCCTGACTTCCTGTTCCATTCTGCCTTTGAGTAGACAGCTTTAAATGTCAATTCTCATAAAGCAGTGTTAACTCTTAAATCAAACCAAATTTTCATTCATTTAATCCCAAATATAAATTCAGGTTTCTGTGGTTTGTAATTAGCACTATATTACAGTTCACTGAAACTATAGTGATACAAAGTTCAGTACACAAATTACATTCCATCTCTTCATCATTCTTGTGCATAGCTTGTCAAAATCTGTTACCTGGCATTTTCAAAAACAGTTTTCCAATATAACAATATTTATTGTATCAAAACATAGAGTGAACAGAAAATGTTTGATTTTTAACTTCTTGATGAATTGTACATAGAGGGCAGTATTCCCCACATATTATAGTAACATTTGAACATTTCAAACAGGTCTTTAAAACACTGCAGGCTTCAAATTTTCAGGTGCTGTTTTTGCAGCATGTTCATGTAAACATGAACTCTGATGTGCATGTAAGAAATTTAATGTAATTGCTAAATATGAATAGATTCGATGATTTAAAAAAAAATACTTATAACCTGGCAGAAAAGTCAAAATATCCATGAAGTGTGACTAAAATCATCCTCAACAAAAATTCAAATTTGAGCAAAAATTACTATCATTATTCAAAGACTCAGCAGCTTACATTATTTTTCATCTGTTGAAGACGCCATTCTTAGGTATGTGATCTAAAAAAAAAATAGAATATAATATTTCGCTTATCCTCTAGATAACCTTATTTCCCATCAACCCCTTCTCAAATAACAAAACATGTGCTTTTGACATGATTTTCATAATAAGATTTCTAGGAAATTAGTGACATAGCATTTCTAACATCTTGATAACCGCCTCTAATATCTGGGAATCAAATCAAGTCATCGTTAGATGAATGTACACATTTACTTTTGACTCGCTCCTTGCAATCAACCCTCATAATAAAAGCCATAACCTCTAGTCTTTCACTGTGATTTCTTTGATCTTATGATAGACTATATGATTAAAAATTTGTTAAGGGTCAGAAGAAATTCCTGCGTTATCCCCAGCTAACAAGGCCACTGTTTCCACAGGGGAGAATATCTGCAATGCCCGGTAGATTGTCCATTAGTACTAATCATGTTCAATGCATATGAATCGATTGCTATCTCTATTTTTTTTTTCTGTCTTCATTTTTGTTTCATCATTTCTTATATATGTGTGTTTTTTTTTCTTCTTTTTACTGATAAGTATCTTAGTTAATACATGTAATTCACAAACCTCACAAGCCTAGCAAACTAATTACCCCAGTAAATATTACTTAAATTGCATCTGCTGTGCAACATTTATGCCCTGCGACTGTCTTTTGTAGCTTGCAATTTTTCCCCCCTTCTGCACCTGTTCCGGTGACTTGAATAACCTGTTTGAAATTTAATTGATTTGCCATTTATATAGCAGAGGAATTATTGTGCTTTTGACCTGTATTTATCGCTTCGCCCTTTAGCTAATTGCATGGCAGCGTTAGATAAAGCATACACGTTTTTTCATGATTACATATTTCCCAATAGGTGACAGCAAACCTTAGTAATGTATCTGAATCCCAATCATATTGTCACATATTAGAGGAGATATGTGTATGGCACCACCTATAGTTTAGTTTGGGAAACGCACAGCATTGCCTCAGCTACTGATGATGATTTCATTTACTTCAGGGCCAGGAGCAAATTACAATCCAGGGTGGTAGGGTTTAATTAGATTGCAAAAATTTAGCACTGAATTGAGCTTCATGACATGAACCT